TGAACCTGCTTAGGGCTGCAGTTATCCTCCAATGCTGCATTGCCAGACTTTGGTTGTACAATAGTACCAGCATTAAAATGAAATGAAATGATTTAAATATGTAATTTTGCTTTCAACTAGGTAGGCACATGGAGAAGTCACACCTTCTTTCTAGCTGAAGTGTACCTCTGGAAGGCTTACAGGAACACGATTCATTTTAAAACAAGGCGCGAACACCCCAGGTCCTTTCTTTTAAAGTTAAGGGTGAGGGCAGCCAGCAGTGGAGTTGGCAACGGAGACTGCAGAAATGGAACTGGGGAAGGTGCACATGATCTGTAGGCCACTTGTCGCCTTCCCTGCCTTTTTTTTACAGCAACAAATGTAAATGCAACAAATACATGTTGGAATTACTGTTGGAAATTGAAACATGCATCAGTTGTCAGAGTGGCACAAGACACGTGTTATCAGGATTCACTCAGTCTACTGCACTGAGGGCCGGAACCTCTTGTGTGATCTGGAACTTTAGAAGAAAATAGCTTGTGGCTTATTTGGAAGCATATTTTGTGCCTAATTAGGATAATTCCTACTGTTCATTGTTATTGTATCAATAGTTTAAGTGTGTATCTATGATTTTACCAGTATTTCAGCTAGTCAAACTACATGGTATCAAGCATCCATCCAAATGTTGTTGTCCTCTACTCACGGAGGGGCAAAATATTCCCTTGTCGGAGAACAGATCATGAAAGAACGTTTCTCCTCCATTGTTTTGTTGACAGAACTGTTGGTAAACCACAAAAGCTTCTTGTGCAGAGTTCTTTACCTGCTCTCCTTTCCCCCCCGTTGTCAGGTTCCCCCCAGCCTCTGAGCGTTCAGTGTTTTTATTATCGTTCCCTTGTCGGAGAACAGATCATGAAAGAACGTTTCTCCTCCATTGTTTTGTTGACAGAACTGTTGGTAAACCACAAAAGCTTCTTGTGCAGAGTTCTTTACCTGCTCTCCTTTTCCCCCCTGTTGTCAGGTTCCCCCCAGCCTCTGGGCGTTCAGTGTTTTTGAAGGGAGATTGTGCAAATTGGATAGCCACAGTTCTGTGATGGCAGAACAATGCTATTCGGGTTTGGCTTTTTAAAATAATGTGTCAGTACAGATGTCTTCTGTTCAAAAGAGAGGGTTACTGTACATTGGAATTATTGTTGCACAGCCTATGAATAGTCTGTGGTTTGCCTCATTTTCCAAAGCAACTGGGCAGTCATCGCAAACTGCATAGAAATGGACAGGCCTGATTGCTGGAGAAGCGTTCAGCTTCTGTGAAAAATTGATTAAAAACAGCCATCTATTAAACAGATTCTTCAAAAGTTTTGAATACCTTATGAGCACAGGACACAGACTATGTCCACACACTATCTCCCTGATCAGATCAACAGGCACAGTAATAAATGACAGTAAGTGCCAGCATTTCTGTGGCTCTGTGAAGTAAAAATGTGTGGCACTGAGACAGGATCACAGAGACATCAAAGCATTACATCTGCACAGAAGCATGGGTTTTGTACTTCTGTAGAGCTAAGAGCCAACAGCATTGTGTGGAGAACATAGCAAAACAATATCATTTTCTCACCCGGGGACTGTGCAACTTGCCCAGAGCTACACAGGCTCGCTCTTTTCCTCAGAAACATAATAGGGGATCAAGCTCCTAATCTCTGGTTCTGTAGCTGGATACCTAAACCATAGAGCTATCCAGCCAGGAAAAAAGACCTAAAACAGACAGAGGGTGTGTTTAAAATGCAGACCCTGATCCTATATCATCACTGAAGGCAGCTCACTTTCTAATTTTGGAGATACCCACACACATTTATATGTACAGTAGGCCCTCCACATCCAATGGGGATTGGTTCCAGGGTTCCTCGTGGATACTGAAAACTGCTGATAATAGCAAACACTGTATATACAAGGGGGTTGCTGGCTTGACCCTGCACCTACTGTTTTATGTTCCTCGCAACTGATTTGCAGAGTATCCACCTCTGATACTCTTGGGTGATCTATAGTAATCCTGACTAGTAAGAATTGATAGCCCTAACTTTCAGTAATTTATGTAATGCTCTTTTGAAACCATACAAAGTGGCACCCATCACTGCATCTTGTAGCACTGAATCCCACTGCTTTGTTGTTGTTGTTTAGTCATTAAGTCATGTCTGACTCTTCATGACCCCATGGACCAGAGCACGCCAGGCCCTCCTGTCTTCCACTGCCTCCCGGAGTTGGGTCAAATTCATGTTGGTTGCTTTGATGACACTGTCCAACCATCTCATCCTCTGTCGTCCCCTTCTCTTCTTGCCTTCACACTTTCCCAACATCAAGGTCTTTTCCAGGGAGTCTTCTCATGAGATGGCCAAAGTATTGGAGCCTCAGTTTCAGGATCTGTCCTTCCAGTGAGCACTCAGGGTTGATTTCCTTCAAAATGGATAGGTTTGTTCTCTTTGCAGTCCAGGGGACTCTCAAGAGTCTCCTCCAGCACCACTGCTTAGCTATGTGCTATGTTTCTTTTTACGTGTCCTACTGCTGCAACTCCCAATGTGCAGCATCAGGGGATGATCCCAGACTCTGGCACTGTAAGAGATGGAGGAGTGCTTCTGACATCCAATTCTTTCTTTTCCACAAAGGAAACAAAACCTCAGTAGCACTCACAGAAAGTGCACACCAACCAATCAAAGCCGTGTTAAGAGCTCATAGCCCAAGTGTACTTGGCCGACTCATCGCCCCGCCAGATAACAGTTTTGCAGATGCTCACCCTGTTTGCATATGCAGATCTCTGGTGGCCATAAAATCTAAAAATAACAATCTTCCCTCTTTCAGTTTACCACATTTTCTTCTTCTTCCTCTTCTTTGATTTAAAATGCTAGTTTTCATTCATTTCTGCAAAGCTGATGGGTGTGCAGGTGGTGGAACAAATAAGTCTTGAAAGGTAAAGCCTTTTGATATTACTGTTCAGCATGTACATGGAATCCACCAATGTTCTAACCAGCAATGATTTTTCCCCCTACAAGCTGGCTCCTTCAGGTTTGTTGTGGTGAGGAGGAGACCATCATAAGTGGCACTAAAGCCGTGATGCCAGCTGCTTATGATTCTTTGTAGTAGTAGTAGTAGTAGTAGTAGTAGTAGTAGTAGTAGTAGTAGTAGTAGTAGTAGTGCAAATTGTTGTAGGAGTGGAATTTAGCAGTAGTGTGAACACAGGGGCTACAGAACAGGGAATTCAAGGTTGTGCAACTTTGCTTTATGTAGTTAAAAAGATGTGCCAACATACCAGAAAGCACCCCAGAGGGAGACCACAGATGCAATACAAGGATATCTGCAAGCAGGATCTGAAGGCCCTAGGAATGGACTTCAACAAATGGGAAACCTTGACATCTGAGCACCCAGCCTGGAGGCACGCAGTGCACCATGGCCTCTCCCAATTTGAAGAGACATTTGTTCAGTAGGCCGAGGCAAAGAGGCAGTCCCAAAACCAGCAAAATCAAGGATCTGGACAAGGGACAGCTTGTATTTTTCTTCAGTATGGAAGGGATTGTCACTCTCAAATTAGCCTTCTCAGCCATGCTAGATGCTGTTCAAAGACCTCTGTTCAGAGCATGTTACTATAGTCTCTTGAGACTGAAGGATGCCTACACATTAAAGATTATTTCTCATCCTTAATGGTATTTGGCAACTGTAAAAATGTCCCTTATAGAAAAAAAAATCCACAGTAGAAATAAGATTTCCTTATATTTTGCATGTTTGTACCGTGCAGTAACACTGGGAACTCAGTTCTTAATGTAAAATGAGGGATCACCCAAGGCAGCAAATTTTGCATATGTTATGTATTGTTTGTTTCATTTGTTCTTTTAATGCAGATGAAGGTAAAGTGTGCCTATGAGTTCATTGGACTCAAGATGGTTTTTTTTGTTTGGGTTGGTTTTGATTTTTTTTGTTCCTGGACTCCTCCCTTCCCTTCAAAGCCTTCCTGGGGAAGAAAAGTCCTTATCTCCTCCTGGAGTTACAATTTTCTATTAAAACATGGTGGTGCCCCCACATCTTATTTTGTTCCTCTCCCTCAAGTATCAAAACAAATTGGTTTCTTCTTTTTCTTCCTTTTGAAATTCTAGTGGCTAGAAAAGCCTATGGCATGTTTTGGAGGTGGAAAATTGGTTCCTAGATCTCCTTTTGCTTGTCTAGGCTAGTTTATTATTAAATAGTAGTAATTATTTTTAATGCCTCTTGAAAAATCTGTTTCCTGGATCTGGCCAAAATCCCATTGCTTTTCATTGTAAATCACACTACAGTAAGTTGGTTGAATCTACAGGGATTTAGTGAGTCAATTCCTCTGTAAGTGCCATTGGTTCAGATAAGCCTATGCGAAAGTAAGTCACAATTAGAGTAAGCCTATTTGAATCAATGGAACTTTTGGAGAAGCTAACTCATCAAATCCCCATTTACTTCAGTGGGCCTCCTTTGGTGGGATTTACTACAACAAGCAAAAGGATTTTGGCCACTGTGTAGTGTAAAATATAATTGATTATTTAAATTTTTTGGTGTATAATTATTTTGTTTGTTTGTTTGTTTGTTTGTTTATTTGATTTATTTGATTTATTTGATTTATATCCCGCCCATCTGGTCTGGTCGACCACTCTGGGCGTATAAGGTGATGGAAAGGTAATGCCATTCAAGCAGATTACTTCAGGACTGTATAGCGTAATGTGGATTTGTGTGCACAGCCAGGTTTATTGAAAACAAACATAGATTGTAGTTGTGACTGGATACTTTGTCAGTTTTCTGTCTTGGTGAATAGCTCTCAGGAGTGGAAATAATCCTGGATATCAATCTGTGCAAATGCTTTATATCCCTAAAGGCAAATACTGCTTTGTTACTGTTGATAACAGAACAATTGGTGACAGATCGTTGGCACATTTCTTTACATTGTCTTTATTAGCGTGTATAAGACATCAGATCAGATTGCTTTATATTCTCCCCCCCTCTTCTATTTCTGTGACCAGATGGAAGAACTGGAAAGGAACAGCAAGCTTGGTTCACCAGCACCAAATGACATGGAACAGCCAGTCACAGTGAGCTCTTTGGTGAGTCGTGCTGAGGAGCAGGTGCTTTATAATGTATGGAAAGTGCTAATTGGACAGCACATGTTCTTAAGCGGAATGGAATATTTCATGAACAGATTGATATTTTAAGCAAAGCAACAATCCCAGCAGTGATCAATATACATGGTGGGTTAGAGCTGTGAATCTACAGTAGATGCTTCTTGGTACCACAACTTTCTACAGGGTTTTCTGCCCTTTTTCTTCCCTCCAGGATTTGCCAGCCAACAAAAGGATCCCAGTTTCTACTATGAAATCCTGTGCACAATTCCTTAGATTCCGCACAGGAACGGATACTTTTCTTCACAGGATTCTTTAGCAGCACCTAGATAAATCTTACGTTTAGCTTCTTGTGGAAGACAGTCCTGCCCTAATTGTGTCTGAAGTATTATTCTCTGCAGTATTTCTTTCTTTGTTATTGGTGTCAGGTTCACACTGGTTACTTTCATATGGTTGTGTTCAATAAATTTCCTGGATTGACACAACAATTTGAAATTGACATGATTAAGAGCAGGAATTTGACAGAAGCAACCAAGATAGGCTCAAACTGGATAGGACTGTCAAGCTTAATCTTGAGTGAGAAATTGGCAAGAAGCTGGGGGGGGCGGTTTGCTCAGCATTTCTCCCAGCTGCTGCTCTTGGGTATCATCCTACCTCCCTGAGAATCTCAGAGGGATTTCCCTTCTGGAGCAAAAGGTCAAAAATCTCTGGCATGAGAAGAAAATTCCCAAGTAATCGTTACATTCCTACTGTGACTGATAATCGCTCAGCTATTCTAGTGTGATTTTCTTTTATTATTTTTCCATGTTATTTTGAGGAAACATAATAAAACCTCAATGAACACCACCAAAACCAAAGGTTGCCACCAATAATTGTAGGTGGAGATGTCACTTGAATTTCTTGAATGAGAACATGTATGAGAATAGGGTTGAAAAATCAGGCCGAAATACGGTTTGTGCTATGTGTTTTAACAGAAAAGGCTGGCAGCTGTACCTGACCACACAGACGTTTCACTGAGACCAGAAGAGCGTGTACGGGCCTTAAGCAAGCTTGGTTGTAACATCACGGTAAATGAAGACATTACACCCCGGCGCTACTTTAGATCTGGAGTGGAGATGGAGCGCATGGCGTCTGTATATCTGGAAGAAGGAAATCTTGAAAATGCCTTCGTTCTTTATAATAAATTTATAACGTAAGAACTAGTTTGAGGTTATGGATACTGATTTGATTCCTGAATAATTTTTAATATGTGGTGTTTAGAGCGTTTTGATAGAGTGCCAGCAAATGGTTTCGACACAGCTAGAAATTACAGGTATTTTCTAGATAGAAAATGCGTGTGTGTTCGTTTGTTACAGAGAATTCAGATATCCTTTTTGAATGGTAAAACCTACCATTATCTGTTTTGCAAGAACAGCATTTTTCTAGCACACATATAGTAACAATTATATCAGGTGCTTGGAAGTAACTAATGATAAATAATGTGTTAGTAATAATTGCATGCTATCAAGTCACTTCCAACTTATGGCAACCTTTTTCAGCTAAATAATGTTTTCTGTAATTAATTCATTTTTCCATCATCAAAGTATAACTACATGACATTAGTAGTATCTAAAAGAAAGGTACAGTGGTGCCTCGCTTAGCGATCGCTCCGTTGAGCGATGAAATCGCTTAGTGATGGGGTTTTGGCCATCGCCAGAGCGATTGCTTAGTGATGGCCCCTATGGGGAAAAATCACTTTGCGATGATCGCGGGGAAGCGATCACCGCAAAGCCCCCATTTTCAGCCAGCTGATGCGCGGTTTCAAAATAGCCGCCGGAAAACAAAATGGCCGCCCGCTGTGTTGCCTCGCTTTAGAAAGGGTAACTGGTTATTTTTTAGAAGCAACTTATATACTCTGGTTTTGTTCCTTGGAAAATAGTATTTTCTTCTAGCTATAACAACCTGTTGTACATGAATGCAAAGTACAGTGTAAGTGTACTAGTGCCACAAACACCTGTTAGAACAAGGCCCTCTTCAATATCTGTTTTTAGCTTAGAAGTCTCCTCGTACTCTCCAGGAATCTGAGGAGTAATTTTGCCATTCTTTACGTCCTTCATACACCTCATGAAAAAAACAAACACGAAAACAGTGGGAGGGAGGGGCTGAAATTGGTTCATGCCTGTCAGTTCTTGGCTAAGGTTGTAAAGTAGAAGAAAAAGGCAAAGGTGAGGAACATGTAATCGCTTTCCAGACGGCCTTTGCACCATCTCACAGCTTAGATTAGACTGACCCGGTTACATTGATGCCTCCTAACTGAGGATTCAGGCTTAGTTTGGAGATTTGTGCAGGGCTGTTGCCCTTGAGCACAGTTGTCTGCTTGAAAAAGCCTTGGTCTTCCAGGATGGTGATTTTATGATTCAGAGTGGCTTTTTTTCTAGTTACCTCCTGGTGTATGTACACCATTAGGGCAATCTGCCAACACACACTTTAATGAACAGTCAATAATCACAGTCACTGCTATCACCCTGATGATCACGAATTTAATTCTGGCAGGCAGCCCTCGTCAATACGAAACTGCACCCTTGGCAGAGTCCACCTCCCTTCCCCAAGCTGCACACTTTATCTTGATTTGCCTTTTGCAGAGTGTGCATTAAAGGCTGCAGACAAACCAGATGCTTCTTTATGGTCCTCCCTTCCCTCCATTCTCAGCAGAGGAAGCAGAAACCTTAGAGCAATTCACTTCAGCAGTTCTTTCTATTTTGCCAGGACAAGGCAGAAGAAGAAAGTTGCTGCAGGGAAAGAAAGAAAACTTGGAGTAGATTATTTTGATTTAATTTTAATTTTATTTTGTGTGTTGTCACTGTCTGATTTGGAACATAGTTTGGAACTTGATCCCCCTCCCCCAAAGTATTTTAAAGTAAATTTTGTTCATCTATTTAAGAGTAATATTTCTTTTCATTGAAAAATCCTGAATTAATACTGCCAATAAGGTAAAAGAAAGAAAAAAGATAGAGTAAAATCCATGATTAAACATATAGGTCCTAAAGATCGGGAGCCTGTGTATATTTACTAGGAAGGCCATTCCTGGTGATGGGTTTCACAACAGAGAAGAGTCTTCTCTACATCATAAATGAATAAGCCTTGCTGGGCCGTGTTATGGCATGACACTTGAAGACTTAAAGATTGGCACAGTCTGTCTATGTTGGCACCAGATGTTTCTTCAAGAGCAATGTGTTACTCTTTGGGCAAAATCCTATTAATTACACACACAACCAGCATAACTCTCAGTAGCAAACTGCCTCAAGTTATGATGTCAACACAGGCATTTGCTCTTCTGTTTCAAATTGGGCAACTTGGCACACATTAAGCAATCCTTGCTCTAACGTTTTCACTTGCAGCAATGTGCCACGGAGATGCACACCAGTTGCATTGCCCTGATGTAACAACATGATAGGGTTCTAGCTATTATATGTTACTTTGGACATTTTTTTACATTTGCATTTGTTTATATATAATGCATTACTTCTTTTAACAGTGGATTTGGAAAAACTCAGTTCTGGTGGTTTGCTCAATACCACCCCAAGCTTCTACTTAGCAGAATGTCCCACCAACTTAGTAAAGCAGAATTGTTTTGCTTGCCATTGTGCAAGTGGTTGTCTCTGTGAAGAGAACTCACCCTCCGTTTATGCAGTGGCAGTGCATTAGTACGCTGGTGGGACTTTCTGCTCAGCAGATGCTCAGTAGGATATTGGCTGCTGCTTGTTTCATTATGTATGGCCATAATTGACAAACAACTTGTTCCAGGGTAGTATCATTAGGATGTGTAGCACTGCAGTGCAATAAATGATAATGAAGGTTATCACCATTGTGTATTTAGGCACTTTGAGCCAGCTGTAGAACAGTAGTGTTCAAAGCTATAGAAAGCTGCTATGACTCAAAAAGGGATGGTGCAGTCCAGCCTCATATGATTTCTGCAGCCTGCTTTTGTCCCAGCAGAAAAACAATGATGTTGTGGACATTCATCAGGCAAACAAGGGGGAAAATGTGTGTGTCTCATTTTCTAGTTTGTTTGTAGAAAAGCTGCCATCTCATCGAGACTACCAGCAATGTGCAGTTCCAGAAAAACAGGATATATTGAAGGTAGGATGAGGTGTATGTGTGTGTGTGGTGTGTGTGCGTGTGTGTGCGCGCGCGTGTGTGTTTTTAAACAAATGTTTCAGAGGATTTTCTCCCTTTCCTTAAAGGAACCAGAGAAAGAGCTGAAAAAAGTTCTGTTTTTGGATTGCAACTCTCAGAATCTCCTAACCAGTTTGTCCAGTGGTTATGGTAGCTGGAGGATTCTGGGAGTTGCAGTCCTAAAAGGAATCTTGTGCAAGCCATGCAGAAACCTGTAAGAGCTGTGTAGCTGGAGGATTCTGGGAGTTGCAGTCCTGGTGCAGAAACCTGTAAGAGCTGCACCAGTGGGGTCTTCTGAAATGCTTTGTCCCTGGCAGTGCCCAAGTAGAACAAGTGCTGCTGCTGCCAGCATTCTGTGTACCAGGACAAACATAGGGACCTAAATTTCCTTTTGACAAGTAATTCTGCTGCAAGAAGGATAGGTTGCATCTCTTCTGATGCTGTCAAACTGCAGCTGCCAGCAGTGCTAGCCAGCATAGCCAGTGGTGAAGAATACTGGGAATTGCAGTCCAAGGAGGATCTCACTTTGCCCACCTTTGTTCTGAAAAGATGATCAGGCCTTGTAGATGTTTTGCTTCTTGTGGCCACACCCTTTGAGCTAATTAACTAAGGCATCTACTCCATTACAGTCTATTTCTTCCATGCACAAAGGAAGTTACACCAGTTTTCCCTTACCTTCAGGCCATTGAAAACTCACAAGTCATAGTGAAAGAGTTGTTGCTTGCAGCTAAAACTCATTCATAGCATTCCTCCCCCATAAATTCTTTTTAATTTAAATGTATACTATTGAATGATTTACCACTATTATGGGATGAGTTTGATCATTTGGAATGAAAGGAAAGTGAATATTTATATACACTGGACATCGTTTACATTTATATATTTTATTTTTTATTTAAATGAAGAAACTGAAGGAGATAGCATTTCCAAGGACTGATGAACTAAAGAAGGACTTGTTAAAGAAGTATAATGCAGAATACCAGGAATATATGCAAGGCAAGGTAAATTTCATCAGAACAAATGTATCTTATTTTAATGATATGTGAAGTCCATAATCAATGTTCTTTGTAAGAAATGAAGACAAGTAGATTGAATGTTTCTGGTTTTTTAAATATTTAGACTATTACCTTTGAGTGTGATGAAATAGTTTATCTGCTGCTTTTAAACACAATGGCACAGTGGTTAAACTGCAGTACTTCAGTCAAGACTCTGTTCACAACCTGAGTTTAATCCTGACAGGTTCCGGTAGTTGACTCATCCTTCTATCCTTCCGAAGTTGGTAAAATGAATAA